ACTATCTCCCTCATCCCTCCAGCGACCGGATACAAACACCCCCCCTCCCTGCACTGAGGATCCCCAGCGTACAATGTGATTCGCGACCCGCTTCCCAAGCATTTTTTTTTCATGCTCCTCTTCAAGTAAGAAGAAAGGATCTCTGTCTAATGCTTGGGACGAAGGAACTAAGAGGTGGATGAACCAGTTGTGGTCAGTAGTTTGGAAATGAAACTCGCAACATATTGTAGCTTTACAGGAAATTTTAACTCCTCTCGAACCGAGACGACAGTGACAACAAAAAACTAGGCAAATGTACAAAACAACACTAAAAACACTGACATTAACACCATCAAGGTCATTTTTAGTGAAATAATGAAAAAAAAAACGCTAATAGCGTTGGAAGAAGCATTCCACGGACTCCCTACGTGAATTGGGATTAGCACCACAGAATAAAATTATTATGCTTGCAATCGATTCACCTACCCTCTCCTTCTCTCAAGATTGGGCAAAAATCTTCAATTAAATATACTATAATATAATATATAATAATATATAATATATAATAATAAATATACTTTACGGCAATTGGAGCTATGCACAAAAGGCCTAAAATCTCCCTGCAAGGCAAACAATGATTTGAGGTGACTAACCGAAAGTCTCCATCAAGTAATCGTTGTAAAGCCGATCGAAAATGTTCTTGTGGTAATTTCCGCATTAGGCACATATATCCTTCTGATCTCAAAAAGCGAATGAGATAATCTTAAGGAGACGACGAAAACATGCAATAAGGCATACCCCTGTGGATCAGTGTTGATTCCTATGACGGGTTTATCTCTTCTGATGAATACGCGATGCAGCAAGTAAAAACGTCCCATCACCACCAGCGGTCATCACAGCATCTGCCCATTTTACGGCGTCTTCTGTGTAGTCAAACCTTTGAACTACTCTTGCTTCCACACCAGCTCGTCTGAATGATGCATAAACTGGTTTTGAGAAAGTACTTTTAAAGATAAATGCTGTCACTGCATACTTGTTGATTATGGCGATCAATTACAAAACCGACCTACTCGCTAAATAACCCTCCAGGGAAGGAAAAAAAAGCCAAAAAAAGTCCCGGAGAACACCCTGAATAAGGATCCCTAGCCACCACAGTACCAGCAGAGCGGTATTGCGCACCCTCTGGCTCCTAGCCGTTTCTTGGCGTAACCCAATGGTATTGTAACTAACAGTGAGGAAAAAAACGAAAAAAACATGGGTAGAAACTACTCGGGACAGAAATTGCCCATTCAGTTTCGTGGGCGCGACAACTACGGGAGGCGTCAGAAATGCCACCTCTGAGGGCCATAGCGATTCGTTACTTACTGAGAAGCTGCAAATGGGTTTAGCTCAGAGACTGGGGACCAGACCAATTGTACAAGGAAGGGCACCCACGAAGTGCTCGAACGCTGGAACTGTCTTCAAGTTTTTAGAAGACTCAACATCCCTTCTTCAATATTCTCAAAATTGCGACAGAACTAAGTCCGTCTAAAATTCCGGAAAAAAGCTTGGAACAAGCCAAAAAAATCGAAATTTTCCATCAAATTACCACTTCCTTTTCTCTGGATTGTGTACCGAAGTATTGCGGATATAGATGAAGCGTGCTGGAACAACTGCTCTCAAATAGTAAAAACGACTAGAATTACGTGACAGGTTCCTGCACGCAAGCCCAGCATCAGGATGCGCGAATGACCGAGTGGGAGCCTTCTGCTCAACCCCATCAGGCATCTTTGAGTGACTTGAAGCGTGAGAGAAAGGAGAGAAGACCACCAATACGAGTGAGCAGTTCCATGCTTTTTAAGGAATTCAGACGAATATCCGCAGTACCACTGGACCTCCTGTGGAGTTGATTGCTTGGATGATGAAGGCTCGGATCAAATCCAATAGCAAAACAAATCACAAGCGCTGTATAGTTTTTTTTGTTGAACTCCCGCTATCAACTCACCATCCCACTGTATTGCTGCTAAACTGTTCAAAACGCGATTTTGTGCTCGCTCCAAATTTCTTTTTCCGCAGCTGTAGGGTTTAATAGGGTGATTCAGTTCTCCCTCCAGAGTAACTCGCAATCACAATTCGGCACCTCCAGAAGCGCGATGAAAAAGAGCTTTATCTCCGTGATCCCCTGGGCATAAGGGAAAATGTTTTTGAAAAGCGTTCGGATGAAAAAGCCCTTCCAGTGCTACACTCCTCCGCCCTTATCAGTGCTACGCAACGCATTTCTTCTGAGGAACGGTCCTAAGCGGTCCCACTGCCACCTTGGTGGTCTCGACGATCGGACTATTTAGCGGTGAGCTGCTCTCCTGACGATTAGATGGTGTTCTGCATTGATGTCGAACTTCACTAGGGTGGTAGAGTCGCTTGTTTGGGTAGGCATGAAGTGCTTCGACTCCTTCTAGGCTCTGAAGAAGGCGAACCCGCAGAAATGCAAGCCAATAAGACGTGTTTTATCGACCTCGTGTGGAGCTCAGAACACCTGTCAATTAACACAGTGCCGAGGTTTATGGAGAGCCATACATGGCATTTTCTAAGAACGCGAATGAGCGCATGACAATCAATGGCAACCAGTGTGCCACATGGATTATTCCTTACTTTCACTCCTCTCTTATTGTAATTGTTCTAACGCGATACCGCTGTGTTTTCCCTTGCTCCGCTTGAACAAGGGTCGAAAAGCAAAGCACTACGAGGAGAATCAATGCTACTCAGCTACAACTTCTAACACACTCCGCCATTTTCAGAATCGGAATGTAACCATATAGAGAGACAGAGGTAACATTTCTGATTAGGGCCAGTCACAACACAAAAAAATAACAATAACTAAGCGACTACTGAAAGCGACTATGTCCACTTAAACGACATAAAACGCGATTAAACTTACTCAAGCTCTGACTGCATAGTTTGCAAATACGTTTGATGAATTTGGTGCTTCCTGATTAACTGATTATAATCTGACCCACGTCGCCTTAACTGAAACAGAGAGGTCCACAACCACTAATACCATTGAAAAACGGAAGAAACTAAGGTTGACTTACCAAATCTTCAAGTTTCTTATCATCATCTTCGCCATGTATCCGTTTTTCGTACTCATATCGCGTAATTTTACTCAATATGAGCACCTTTTTAGGTCGAAAAGACGGTTTCTACAAACATCTGTTGGGACATGCATTCAAAAAAGGATATTGTGATATAAAAAAATCCAACTACAATAAATCTCATATAGTGCTATCGATCTATACGAATTGAAGAAACATCTTAAAGGATGAATGATGTCCACATACCTCTATATCGGATCCGGAGTTCGTTTTGCTACTCATGGCGGCATAAGGCACCGGATGACGATAGAGAGCCGCGGCTAATGATTGAGGCAACAGACGCATACGATACGCGAACGACGCGTCGCCCCACCAGCGATTTTTTCCTATCTCACCGATGAAACAGTATGCCCGTGGAAACTGAAAACAGTAACGATTAGAACTTCTAGACATTGCAACACCACGCCTACCCCCAGAACATGCAGATTTCCCACTTCAGGTCTACTAACTCCGCTGTTTATCGGTTCTGATGGTAAGCAAAGGTCGGAATAGTTACTGCATAGAGTGGGTAGAATGGCGATGTCAGTAGGGCCACACCCATAACCCCTTCCCTCATCCTATATCACCTGCCCCTCCCCCACCCTACTGATTTCCCAGTTCTGAAAAAGATTACCAGTTCCTTCCGAGAAAAAAAAACCGGCGTAGAGCGGAGGCGGAGGAATTCCGTCACCATGAACTACCAAAGTACTTCTGTGGCGCCGCAATGCAGAAAATCGCGAAAATGCAACGACTAGAAAAAAAACTCAATTTTTTCCGCGAAAGTTCTACAGAAGCCACATAAAGCTCCACTCCATCCTTCCCACTCCCGAATGGGGTTCTTCCAAAGACGCTCTTACCGCTGCAATAGTCCGCACAACCACGAAGTCTTCATCAGATCCCAATAATAACCAAAAACCTTCTATACCAGTTGCAACTTCTTCCATGTTCTTTGATAGACCGAGAACAGCAAGTATTCATCCTTGTATTGCAACTGTTACTCTTTGAAATAATTCAGGAGTTTGATATTCGCGCGGATTACCACAGAATCTAGCACAGCGACAGGGTAGCTTTAGGGCTAGTAAACATCCCAAGACCGGAGAACTGCGGTGAAACTATTTCGACTACTCTGCTCTACCACAAAAACTCAAGAGATGGATCGTCGGAAAACCACTCTCTCATCTTCATACATGTACCGACTTACTGCCACCGCTCCCTCAGAAGCATCAAAGCAATAAATCTCTGCGTGTTTTTCGAATAGTGAAGTTAAAGCAAGATAACACAGCTCAAACCCCGGTGAACCTTAATAGCGGTAATCAAGTCGCATGCCTTTTTCATACATTTGTCAGAGTTAGGCTGTGAGGAAAGGAGGGAGAAGGTGTAGTTGGCCTGTCGACATGCTGATAATTAATTCTTCCTTTTCCTTATGAAACGATTTCTGTACTCTTTCACCCCTTTGATCGATCGTTGCGGTTGATCTGGGTGGAAATCCCACAGCACGATGATGGTAAGATATAAGCGTGCCTGGATGACAGCGCTCGCCTACATCAAATGCTTTAGTCTGCCACAATTTTATGTTATGAATTAGGTCTATCTCAGGGTTGTAAATATGTGACTGGTAGACTAGACATGACGAGGTAGCATGACTCATACTGACGGTGTGATGACGACGAGTACTTGTCGACTTAGTCGTTTTGGCACCCATCACACCCATCACCTACTAGTACTCTCCTCCTTCGAAAGAACGCTCTCCCGTTCGATCTTGTTCTTAAAGCTGTTCGGCCACTAATTTACGGCGATTGGCATTGAACGCGATAGTGCGAAAGTTGTCCGTTGATAACAGTGGAAATGGCGATAGGCCAAATGGCGCTACCACCTTAGCATTTACGATGCTCCTTCATCGTCAGTACCTTCACAGTAAACCTGTTAAAGACAGCGCCCGCGATCGACTTTGGCATGTTCAAGGGGGCAGATAGAACAGGTGGAAAGTGAAGCATTAATCAAAAAAGTAGGAAAAAGGCTGCAAGAACATGGAATAAGACCCTATTCGATTTAAGGCATCTGGACGAGTTTCGCAGATTTTGGGTGAGTTCTCCAATAACACGTCGCCGCCTCGTTGCGGCTAATTCTCATGAGGCCACTACCTAGGTTATCTTATCTAATCTAATTAATCCACGCTGGCATTGATAATCGATCTGTCTATGAGTTAATCTCTCTATCAGTGTACGAAACGAACGCTAGAAATTTAGCGATTATCAAAGCCAGCAAGGATTGATAACTGTTAACCAGTCGGGGCGGGATTAACAGGACAGGCGGGGTCAGCTTAGCATTGTTGACTCCGCCTTCGTCAATCAATCGATTTCGAGCCGCAAGAGTGGGATATCCGCTGTGGTTGCGGACTCCGCGATCTTGTACAGTGCAGGGTTTTTTCACCTTGGTTGATCGCGGACGCTGCCTTTAAGCTTTTAAACACTGACTTAGATCTACCTCATGGCAAAGATAAACTTAAAGGCAGCGTTTTGCGGCGCAAATTCCTAGCGTTTGTTTCGTACACTGATAGAGAGATTAACTCATAGACAGACAGATCGATTATCAATGCCAGCGTGGATTAATTAGATTAGATAAGATAACCTAGGTAGTGGCCTCATGAGAATTAGCCGCAACGAGGCGGCGATGTATTTTGGAGAACTCACCCAAAATCTGCGAAACTCGTCCAGATGCCTTGAATAGGGTCTTATTACATGTTCTTGCACCCTTTTTCCTACTTTTTTGATTAGTGCTTCACATGGCCACCTGTTCTAACAAATCTGACCCCTTATACCTGCCAAAGTCGATCGCAGGCGCTGTCTTTAGGCTGATATGTCTTGCACTCGTATCCAGCACAGAATGCTCAAATATCATTGTCATAACGCTTTGAGTTGATAGCTGTCACGACCACATATAGCGCCCGGTCTGCAGAAAGCGCAAATGAAGTTTTTCCCCTTTTTCCCTTATCAGAGTGAAGCGAAACAGACACCTGTTAGCGGGTCTATGGGTGATCTGCTGAATGTAGTATGTCCCTTAACTGCCAACACAGCTATAGTCTTGTTCGATGCGGATGATGGGGTGTTTGAGTGCCACTGCTTTGACGCACTGCTGGCCCGTCCACCGCCACTTACTGAAGTGAAGTGTGTACGTACAATAACTAATGGAAAACGACTCATACGAATGTTATGATACAGTTTGATTGCTCGCTGAAAGAAAAAAAGAAAAAAAACTGGTTGGCGCTGTGCCATACGCCGCCGAGCTGATACGTCCCATCACCTGCGGCGAACAAGACTATAACCCCGATTGTGTGCAGTGTGGCCCGAAGCCCATCCGACTTCTTAAACGGCTACTTCGCCTACAATCCAAGAGTTATAGAAGAAATGAGGGGAACATCCTAGGTAGGTAACAGAAAGGAAAAACAGCATAAGATATCGGATAAGGGGTGTTAGAAGTAGAGGGTCATGAAGTCCCTAGCCCGATTGGCCAGCTAGCAAGTGGGACATGTTCAAGAAGTATATAGAGTGGATGTGATCACTTCGAATGATTGATGGAGGACTGATAACAGCGATAAAAACTGATAGTGTTAAAAGCGAGTGATATTCAAATACATATACTCACCTTCGCCGCAACCAGGCCGGCAACAATAGTGCATAGATCCAAACAAGTTAGCAAGTGATCACCGAATCAGGAAATAGCGTGCGTGCTAACAGGAAGCTGATAAAAAAGGATAAGAGGTGAAAGCGAGCACTACATGGAAAATTCCGCTACACACCAGAAAAAGATCGATATACTCATTACATCAGTTCCAGTAATTGAAGCACAACTCATCATCATTCTCTTATCAATTGTGACATCATCACGACCGCTGTACGAACTGGGTACAGGGCACGGTGTGCGAAACTTCTGGAAACTACGACCCCGATTTCCTCCAATTCCAGTAGTAAGCCCCGTCTTTCGCCGCGTACTGTAATCCTTATAGACTTTTTCCTACTTGCCACACACCATTTCTTCCTTCTTCCGGAATTTTTTGCTTCCTCCCGAAAGAGAAAGAACTGCCGCCAACTAGTGCGGGGGAGGGGAAGGGGAAATGGTAAAATGCGACTTTTCTCCAGTGACCAGACACGATCCCTCTCCTGGGGATCTCCCAGCGTACGGCGTGAAGATATCAGATGAGGATGGATGTTTACAGAGATGTAATGACGGGCAGCTATAAATTAATTTATCATCGGCACTACATCTTCACTACTTCACTACTTCATAAGCACCATCAGTGAGTGAGCGTCCTGCAGCCGCAAGCAGAGCCACTTACCAAAACCATATCTTTTGACCGGATTAAAAGCAAGTGTTATAAAGAAATATGCATGAGGACAAACCAGTGGTTTGCGCTGCTTGAAGCTCTTACGCCTTTTTCCAAAATTCGTAAAACACATCACCCTTCTATTCTTCTATATTGTCAATTTCCGAGAAAATGATCGCTATTAAAGTGTCAATTCAGCTGCAATTAGTTCACACAAAATATGTGAAAATTGGATGCAAAAAAAAACTTAATTATTAATAAACGAACCCTGGCGATTATAGGCTGGTCCCAGGAAACCAATCGCGAGCCCGACTTAAATCACCTACTCCGATCCCTGCACTGTGACGATGCATTTACCACGTGTACCACACCAATACGTGGCATCGCGTTGTTATTGGAAAAAGTGCAGATCGATCCCAACTAAAACTGTTTTGACTAGCGCATAGTGATGTTCGCTGAAGTTGGGGTGGTCGGGTGATGAGTTGCCCTGGTGGGTGCCAAGCTCGTTCGCAATCGCTGCCAAATGCGACAAATGAGCTATAACTGTTGTCACATCGTCGTACTCTCCATTTCTACAATTCTTTGTCGATGCCGCTTAATAAAAGGACCAGAGAACGCTTGACGGCTTGAACAACCACCCAAACTGCCTGACACCCCCACCGTCCACAGCGAACTAAAGTGTAATTAGGTCCTTCTATCTACTCCCAGCCATAAACTTGAAACTTTGAGAATTAGGATCAAAACTTATGGTAAAATGAAAGAGTAATGTGGAAATCCCACACCAGCATAAATCCTCGATGGAGACTATCGATTTCTACATCTTATAATTAAGCTACGATCTATTAATTTACAGGATACCTTAGAGAAGTATATGAACATCACACTCACTATCAATTCGAATCTAGATTTCCCTGCCTACCTTAGGTTGAGTCGCGAAATCCTCATGGATCCAGCGAATTATCAATAAAGAGCTCGTTCGATGAAAAGAATGGATTTTGTACCATCCGAGAAAATCGTTTGATGACAGTACTTACAGATGAATACTAGTAAAATCCGAACACGGGGAAAAACAAGCATATTTTTCCTTCCCTGGAAGAAACATGAAAGTTACGCTTCCATGAAATGCAGTTACCCTAAAGTCCCACAGATAAGTCTCTTTCGCGCTGTGAGATAGTCGCATGCACAATTTTTTGTATGCTTCCTTCTTTCGTCTACTTTTGAAGCTTAGCTTGAAAAAACCGTCGGTGTTGGAACGAAGGGTGGCAGATGAGTCCAATGTGGATTCCACAAAAAGATATCGGTAAAAGAATGGGCTGTGAACAAGGTGAATTTTCGGTTAGAGGGCGTTCATATCGTTTCGAACCTCCGCCAACAGGTTGGGGCGTCCGTCGGGATTCAGCGCGCATTGAGCGCCTTTTACAGTGTTCCCCGCGTTTTCAGCGACTAAGAAAGCGTCCATTATCGCTGAGAAAGCTTGCGCACGTTAAAAACGGTGGTGGACACTCAAAACTTTAGATCAATACTACATCCCTAGTCTCTGAAAAGGGAGGTGGACACTCAAAACGCTGGAGCGACACTCATCTTTCCTAGTCGCTCAAAACGCCGATAGACGCTCAAAACACC